AAAAAAAAAAAAATACAATGAAATTATTTTTTAAAACCATCTTCCTTGATATAAAACAACAGCAGTTGCACATAAAATACTGATCAATCTTTAATTCAACTATAAAATTTGATTTTTAAAATAGTTTTTCTTTAAGAAGTATCCTCTGTTTTCACCAAAAAAAAAATACAATGAAACTATTTTTTAAAACCATCTTCCTCCAGGTTGGAAATTGCAGGAAGAAATAAGTACAGAACTACTACCTATAACATCCTAATTTTAAACTTTTCTCTGCCAAAATTTAGTACCCACAGTAAACTGCATGGTAAACTCTCTGGAGTTATTAAGTGGATGGCTGGGGGACATATTTTTGAAATTCAGGACACTTACAAACAGTGTGAGGTAACTGGTTTTGCCTCATCACTACATTCTTAAAAAAAGTAATAATACAATTTATTGTCCAGATCAGTTGGTTACTAAATTTTATCCAGGCAATATAATTCTTATAAAACTGTCATGACAATTATGAAACTTTAACAATCCAATTAGTTTTCAATTGACAAACCCAGGTGGACATTCTTAATTGTGTCAATTAAGTGCTCACTACAACAATCAGGATGACTCAAATCTAATACACTTAGTAAAGTATGCTAAAAGTGTTTCTGTTGATATCCCTCATTCACTGAACTTTGGTGTTCGTATAGTCTTTGACTGTGGCTCTGTTTTTGCTGCATTTGTGGCTCCTATGCTCTTTGTTCTCCAGAGTTTTTTGCTCCAGTCAGGATGGCTGAGAGGTTGTCTTTCATTTTTAAGGTCAAGCTCTGTTGTCAGCTTGTCTTTAAGTTCTGATGGCAACTGCGAGTTTAAAAAAATCACAAGAAGTAAAATATCGAAAAAGAAAGAAAAAGGAGATTAATAAGAAAAACATTCATTTAAAACCCTTAAATCTCAAGGTCTGATTGAACTCCTTCAATATCATGTTTGCTATAAGTTTGATGTGATTTTTGTTAAAATGTTTATAAGCCCAGTAAATGGAACATATACTATATTGTTGAGTTACAAGTGCATTTCACCATCATTCTACTCTGAATTTGTACTGGCTATTCTGAATGTGTGTGGCTCAATTTTCAGAATGAAGCACAACATTGATGGGAACAACATGGTTTCGTGCCACCCAGTTTGTATAAGTCAGTCCTGTTGCTCAAAATCATTATGTAACGCTGAAAAAAAACCTAAAAAATTATTATTATGATAATGATAGGTATAATGATACTGAAGTGATTACAATTAGAGTACTTTGAAGATGAAACAATGGTAAATTATTCACAATTTATCATAATTTTAACAGAGATCATGGTTATAAATCTGAGAAATGGTCACCATGATGTTTCGCTCACCGTATCTACTTTTTGAGAAACAAACTTCCTGTCCAAGGACTGGTTACACTTCAAAAGCTGTACTACTAATGCACAATCCCTTTTGTTCTTCATGTTTGAAAAAATTAAACACTCCGATTTCAGCTTAAAATTATGGTTGTTCCAAATTCAGTCTATAGTGCTTCCCACCAATAACGTAGCTCCATTTTCTGCCTTTAAAAGCACACTCAACCCACAATTCCTCTATTCGCTCCGACGAAGGGCTAATGCTCGAAACATCAGCTTTTGTAATCGTTATGGTGGCCAATTTACCCTTTCAACTTTGTTGATATATCCAAATTATTTCGTTACTCCCACCGACTTAGCCCCAAACAGTTTCTTTCGAAACTATCAGCCTTCAGTCTATAGTGAACAGGAATTGATCAAGCTGAAATCTGAACTTACAGATTCCACCTCCAGTTTGTTCATTTTTTCAACGAAGTCCATTAACTGCTTTGACATTGCCCCAACTGTTGCTTCAAATTGCTCTTTCTCTGTCTGCATTTCACCAGCCTGTTGGTGTTAAGTTAACAGTAGTATATTAGTAAAGAAATTCAGTTCATGCATTTAACAAAGGGCTCACTCATTGCCACTTAGTCAAATCTTTCTTAGTGATCTGGCTACTCCTGAACTTCCAAATGGAAGGTTTGGATCTGAGTAAGGGCAAGATTGATGGGTTTGGCAAAATGTTTGACACTCTCAGTCTTTCTCTACCCAGGAGGTGGAGGGGGACTAGGGGAAAGCTGCCTATAATGATGCTCATCTTGAGTGAATTACCTCTGATCCCCATAAAAAAGCAACGCCAAAGACAACCAGACCACCCCAACGGCAAAATTTGTTGTGTTTCCTTGAAAGTTGGTTGATACTAATTTATAGTCCTGAATGGGTAGGAGGAGGTAGTGGTACAGTAAACACCTGCATAGAAGAACACATGCATTAAGAACATCAGCTGAAATTTTGCAAATAAAGCACCATTTTCATAAGAACAAAATCAGCCTGGAAATATAAAATGTTCTTATAAAATGGATAAGACATTAACATGCCCTTCATGTTAGATGTATTTTCTTGTTCTGTTCACCAGTTAACTAGTAATAAGGCCGATTTTCTTTTGCAGGCTAACTGTTACAATAATGTCACGATATTTATTAATTTTGTTTGCCATTAAATATGCTAATTTAATCTCAAGCATTTTTTTGCATTGTTACAGTTCTGAATTCCAACAACAAAATTTAAGAACAATTTAAGAACACCTTCAGGCTGATTTTTCACTAAGCACCCGATAATAAAGAACCTGATCAGCCTGGCCTTCAAAATCATGTGTTCTTATATGCGGGTGTTTACTGTACTTTGGAAGCAAAGTGTCTTGCCCAAGAACACAACAAATAAACTGATCAGGTGAAAAAACCCTTGGACTTCTTGGCCCAGGGTAAGTGCACTAACTGTCACACCACCACCTCTCCCACAGGAGTAAAAATGACTGGCAACTTGTATTTGAATCTTGATGAATTGCTGGGGGAAGGGTATAAGCTGCGGTGACTTGAATCTTATTAAGGGTTAAGAGTGATACTCCTACACACTTCAAGCTTACGAGGCCATTGCATGCAAAACAACTGCATTTCATTATTGAGAAAAAAAATAGCAGAAGAAAGTTTAGATTCAGATTACCATTTGGAGGATTCTGTTTTCAAGCTCTTGATTTTTCTTCACAACATCATCATAGTCTCCTTTTAGTCTGAAAATTTAAAATCAGTGGAATTACTTTCAATTGTCGAATACAAATACGTAAAGAGGGGGGACTATTTTATTTACGATATAGGAAAATTCATTCTCTGATGAGGGAATTTGTGTTAAAATGCACCAATCTTGAAGTGTTGAATGTGATATTGGTTTTCAAATGCAATCTAACATGGAATTCACAAGTCAGGTAATGGATTTTTGTTGAATCGCATCATTGAATAAAAATAAGAAAAAAAGAAAACAGCGACAAATCGTTTGTTCTTTATCCCGTGGGTGAAACCACAGATGTGAAACAATATCACTTAGCATTGTTTTCAACTTGCAGTTTCACGCTAAATACCTCACTTTGTTAACCAATCAGAATGTGAGATTTTATTCAATTATGGATTCTACTCTATTTAATACATGACAAAGTCAAGAATGTTTATCATATATACACCCTTATCAAATGAGTGAGATAAATCCTGAAAAGGAATATTTTCAGTGACAGTGACTCATGTTTGACAACCTCCATTACAGTCATCATTTATTTGGATTCTTTTTGGGTTCTCAAAACATCAGTCACAGTCCTAACCTTAAAATTTTTCCTCATAGTGAAGTCTACAATGACTATAAGTTTTAAAACAAAATCTTATAACTGATCAGTTTTCTAATTTGCTTGACAATAGTGAGCTTTTTTTCGGTGACGAATGATTTTTACCTCTTTGCTTGCTCAGGGGAAAACTCCAAACCTCCCTTCTTTTCATTTCCTATAACAGGAATTTCCTTTATTTTGCCATTTTCCTCTTTGGGTAATGCAACTGATACTTCAGTCCTCTCACTACAAGGACTATCTGCTATTTGCTCTTCTAACTTCTGCAATTTATCTTTCAATTCCTGATTTTCTAACCTGAAAGGTTCAAAATATTTTGATTATATCTGTGAAAACCTTTCTCATCAACATATCTGTAACAAAATTACAACAGAAAAAAAATTACATTTCTAAATAGACTTACTTTAATTGTTTACAAGCATCAAAAGAACATTCACTCTGCAAAATCAAAATTTATTGTGTCAACTGCTTATAAACAATGATTTATTAGTATTAATTTCATATTGAATTTCAAATAATGCGATGTCTCAAGGTAAAAAAGAATTCTGGATACAGTCTACAACAATTTTCAAATGTTTAACAAGAACGCCAAAAGTTAAGAATGTTGGCACATCAAAATTGGTCCCATAAACAAGCTACAAAAGGTGATATCACTTAAAATAAATACATTCTAGGGATTAGAAGATTCCTTCAAAAATGACATGACCAACTAGATTATTTTTTGTCTGGAAATTTCTCACTATTTCTCCATGTAATCAGTTACAACTAAAAAATTTTTCTTTACATAACAATCAAACAACAAAATGATAGTTCGCAAATGAATGAAACTGATTTAGGAATATAGGTGAATCATGCTGACAAAAATTGTGCATACCTCACTTGAGCTGCCCATATTATCTGTGTTTTCTTCTAATGTGTCCATTTAATTGATGAAATAATTAGACTTCACTTTAGAAAGAAACCAACGAACAAATTATAAATAGAGAAAATAAAAAATCCCTTTAATAACAAGCAGTACGATAGATTTTCCATTCATGAATATGGGAGTCACGCAAGACTGTCACGCAAGAATTGAAACGATCTGCATGTCAGTCCGACACGTACATGTATCTTTGACTGACAAATTGACCACAATGATTGGTAATAGGTAGAAATGATACCGCTACGCAATGTTTTACACACAAAATCTCAAGAGATTACAGTCTCACACGTCTTCATCAACTTCGTAATAATAGACAATATCAATCAAATGATAAAATACGACCGGTTTAAGACTTAAGCGGGCACTGCTTTATAACTGATTTGCTTTCTTGCGCGCTATATCAGTTATACCACAACAAATCTCTCAAACAATAAACAAAATTAGGTGCTACTTAGATCCCCCTATGTGTTAATTAATCCATGTAGCATTTACTACGTACTGTAGAATATAGTGCGAATCTATATTTCTTGACAGTAACAGCTGTAATTTTCACAAATGGAACATGCTACGTAAGATTTGTGGTGGCAAATGAGAAAACTTTCTGAGATACTAACCAAAGCAGATATAATATATATGTATATATCCTTAGTCTTACGTTGTGTGAAAATAGCCTCGGAGGTCAACTGCCCAGCGGTTAAAAAATAAATATCTTTGGTGTGACTCCTCGAAGCATAGAGGCATAGAACCCAAAACAAAACTCTGCACGTACCACGATTTCAATCAGTTTCATATTTACTCAACAGTGATTTTTCGTTTGACAGCTCGTTCCAGTTTGACACGGGCATTTTGAGCGCTTTGGTGTAGGGTTTCTAATATAATTTGAATAATTTCAAAATGATCCTACCAGAAGCCTCGACTTTCTCCCTTATTTCACGGTTAGACGTTTCGTCTCGGTTGCAAATTGAAAATAAACAGTCGAAGAAGTTGGATGGTATTTTAGGTGATAAAATGTAGATAAGAGATTGTTGTGAAAAAACAGCCTGAAGTCTCGACGCGCCAATATGAGTAATTTATTTCAGATGATAGATGCAAGATTTCGAAATCGACGATTTCTAGAAAATAGAAGTAGAGAATGAATTTTCCTATTGTAAATAAAATAGTCCCCCCCTCTTTGCATTGTTGTATTCGACAATTGAAAATAATTTCAATGATTTTAAATTTGCAGACTTATGGGAGACTATGATTGGTTCAGAAAACTCATATCGTCCCAACTAATATAAAGAGATGGAAATCTAAGACAAACTTAACTTTGTCACCCGCATTATTTCCTTGTTTGGGCAGTTTGTTTGATTTTTTACTTCGAGTTCTCATCGGCGACTCAGGGTATTTATTTATGTCGCTCTGAATGGCCTTTGCGATTAGTTGGCTTTTGCTTTACAACACGCGCCAAAAGCCCCCTTAAAGGAGAACTGTAAATTGCGAACACCAACTAAGGCCTTTGATCCCTTGGCAGCAGCTCGTCACTTTTTCTAACGCCTTTTCACTCTTTACACTCCAACATCAGTGTGCATATTCTCCACACATTTCCTAAATATACATAATATTTATATAAGGAGAATTCGTTTGACAATCAAGAACTTCCTTACTTCAGCCGGGTGATCATTTCCTTTCTTCTTATTACCTAACTTATGACTTGGTCAGGTGGAATATTGTCAGGAGTAACTCTCGCAATTGGGGATCAAAGTGTTGCATAACGAGCCTCACGCCGTTAGCAACCAAAAAAAGTCTAGGTATCCAGCAGAGAATCCGTACTTTTAGTCCGCATTCTCTGCTGGATACCAGTGGCTTGCTTCGGTAAAAATTTTGATCGTATTTCGCTCCTAATCTGATAGAGGCGTCAACTTTTAC